ACAAATACCGCGTTTTCTAACCTCGACCGAACTAAAGACGAATACAACAGTTTGAGAGTATAAGGATCGGAAAATGACGAGCAGTTGCGACGAATAAAGGGCAACACCGCGAATGATTTAGAAACAATAAAGTTTATGTGGGTGGTGAAGGTGAGCTTGGAGTCAAAATAAACACCCAAGTCTTTGAAATCAGTAATTGATTTTAGCGGGACATTCGAAAAACAGTAAGAGGTTGGAACAATACGAATCACTTTTGCAAAAGAGGTATAACGACATTTACCAATATTGAGGGACAAACGATTACGCGCACACCAACAGTACAAATTATCAAGCTCACCCTGTCTTCAGGTCATCCGCATATAGAAGAAAGCTACACTTTGAGAAATAGGAAGATATATCATTAATTCTTTATTACAAAAACAACATTACAACAAATAATAACGGCCCTAAGACACTACCCCGGGGAACACCAGAGGAGGAGACAAAAGAATAAAACGATACATTATCAAAACAAACAACACAGCGTTTATTATGCAGATAGGATGTGATCCACTTCAGAAACTCTGAATGAAAGCCCAGGCCTTCAAGTTTAGCTATCAATATTCGATGAGGCACCCTGTCAAAAGCCTTAGAGAAATCGGTATATATAGCGTCAATTTGGGATCCCTTTTAAAGGTTTCCAAACAGTCCTCTGTAAAAGCAGCTAAATTGGTTAACGTAGATCTACCCGGCACGAACCCATGTTGGTTGGGACATAATAATGTTTAACAGCAAAGTAAATTTTGTCTTTAACTATGGACTCAAACCGTTTTGAGACAGTGGAAAGCTTCGAAATCGGCCTATAATTCTCAATACAATTTGTATTACCACTTTTAAGAATTGGCGTAGTAAAAGTCAATTTCCAGTCAATCATAGTTGCGTTATCGTCTCGCCCGGAAATTTTGAGCCGAGCACATGCATTTCAAAGGAGATCTGCACACTTGTCGTCCAATCATAGTTGCGTTATCGTCTCGCCCGGAAATTTTGAGCCGAGCACATGCATTTCAAAGGAGATCTGCACACTTGTCGTCCAATCATAGTTGCGTTATCGTCTCGCCCGGAAATTTTGAGCCGAGCACATGCATTTCAAAGGAGATCTGCACACTTGTCGTCCAATCATAGTTGCGTTATCGTCTCGCCCGGAAATTTTGAGCCGAGCACATGCATTTCAAAGGAGATCTGCACACTTGTCGTTATCGGCTAGTAATCGGCATATCGTTGAAGATGCAGAAACGGATAAATACGGCACTGCCGTTTGCTAATCGTTGTGCACGCATTGTTTGGGGAAAATTAGTGAAAAAGTTAATATTTGCATTAAAATTGTATAAAAATTAGTATTTTTTTGCAAAAAAAAAATCTGTGGAAATTATTAAAAAGTGGATAATTGCAATAATGTTTTAAAAATTGCAGGTTTTTGTAAATATTTCGCGAAAATATCAACCAGAAAAACAGAAAGTACCTGCTCCAAGTGAATTTTTAGACGCCAAATGAATTGAAATATCACGACCGAGTGTGCGAATCATGTAATCGTTGCATCATGATTGTGACGATGAAGCAACTATGATTGGACGACCAATGTGCAGAAAGCCTTAATCGCTTTGATTTCGCAGAGAATTTTCGACAGAGTAGTTTCCCCAGTAACTTTAATATTATGCCGGTTCATGTAGTCAAAAGTTTTCAAAAGTTATCACAAACTATCTAGTTTTGGTGTTCATGTATCCAAATAAAAAACTTGAAATGTAAGGGTTATTGAGAGAGCAAAATGGCAGTTCTCTAGGAAGGGAAGTTGCAAATTTTTACTGGACAAATGTTTGCCAGTAAAAACTTGCAAGCGAGAAAACGGCTAATCGCATGTTGCTGGCAGTGTGACCAGATGATCGCAAAAAGCAAAGCTAAATTCGTTTTTAAAAAAAGGTTAGACAAAGTTATGCGCTATGAAAATTTAGGTTAAAAAGGCGTCAACACATTGCCGGGGATCAGCGAACTAAACGAAAACTAAAAAGGTTAAAAAAAAGAATGATTCTTTTTTCGTCTGTCGATTTTAGAATTGGTTCGGAACTATAGAATTTAGGACTATTCAGAACTATCGAAAAAGGGATGCAGCGCGGGCAATTGATACTTCGTAGGACTTCACAGTGTTAAATTTGTCAGTTGCTTGCATGCAGAAGATAATTAACGCGCACTGGCTCTAAATTCTCTACATAGTACAGAACCAATTCGGTCCTAGTGCTTTTCCCGACAGGGTCTATTCATTCCTTAAAAACTCGATAGGTTTCGAAAATCCGATTTTCTGTAAATAACTGCTTAAATAATTCTCATCAAAACACAGAATAGCATCTATCAGTCCAATAATGGCTACATAACTCCAAATATGAAAAACGAAGTTTAGGATAAGTAAGATGCAAATATTTTAATATTCTTTACACCATAGTACACAAGTAGTACGCCAAAAATCAAATTGCAAAAATATGCTTTAAAGCAAAATTCCTAGTATTACTTTGCACTGTTATAGTAATATTTCAACGGTAAATACTAGTTCTAGAAATATTAAAGCTTTTTAGGAAGCTTAGGTACCAGTGTTGATATTGTACTTTTTTCAGTACAATTAGTTTTAAAAAGTACATAAGTACAATTTACCGACTTTAAGTACAATTTCAACATCAAAAATACTTTTTCCAACAAACGCCCAAATTTCTGTCAGCACTTTGATTCTTAATCCGTTTAGATTTAAGTAAAGGACATACCCATATTTCATATTTGGTATAAAACGCAATTGTGAATTGTAATTTTGAATGTAAACGAGATTATGAATGATAATATTAGTGATGAGCGTTATGGTGATTGCAATTTTTATCACCGGCGGGTGAAATATCCCTCATCGCTATTTATTTTGAAAAATTTAGTCACCTCATTTTATGTGATTGACTTTCATTAATATAAACTGATCTATCTACCGTATTAATTTTTATCATTATTGTCTTCATGAGTGAGATCTTTGTCTGACAAAAACCAAGGCGTTTGATTGTCAAAATTTTGCATTTGGCTAGAGAGTGAGTGAAAACATGAAAGTGTTTGTATTTTCTGTCGCCCTTTTTCATTTGGGGAAGAATAGCTGGAATTTGACAATGGCCCGCTAAAAGCTAAAACAAAATACAAGTTATTGTTGTATTTGTTGAATCGATACCACCTTATATGTATTCGCCTTGGACAAAAACCATACAAGTAAATCCAAGTTTCAAAGTTTCATCAAAATTTCACTATTTTTATTCAGAATTTGTAGAAATTTGTTGGGTAAACATTTTTGTACCCATTCATTCTAGTAAATACAATAAGGTGCTAGTTTGAAGTATCTAAAAAATACCGTTGATTTTTCGTTTTTTTTTACGGTGGTACACCCTTTTTCCATATAACGAATGTTCGCATTTTATTTTATATAGAAGAAAATGCGCAACACCGTTGTTGATTTTTTTTTTTTGAACTGTGGATTTATTTTTGTTGGACAATGAGCTATGCTTTTATAAAAAAATAACTGATTTATAAAATAAAAAACAAAAAACAAAATAAATATCCCGAACCGGTTGACCGTATCATTTTGTAGCGGGGTGTGCTTTTAAAAAAGTGGGATATAATTTAAGAATTTATTTGTGTATATTTAAGATAAACTGCAACTTAATGAAACTTAGTTTAACTTAGTGGGACTCTCTGACAAAACTGGCCATGACTTTATGTGCTAGTTGAAGAGATCTCAATGATATGTTACGTTAAATTAATGTGCAATGAATTGAATAATAAATCCCTTCCTGTAGCCAAAAAAAGGTTTTTGTTTGGTTGAGGGAAAAAGAGTAATGTATTGACGGAAATGGTAAAAAGTACAATTAAGCTAAAGAAGTTCCCCTTTTTGTCATTAATTTAGTACAATTTAAGAATTTCAAATATCAGCACTGTTAGGCATTTTTTTTATAGTCGCAGTTAGAATTTATTTTATTAGGAATATTACAAAAATGCCAGAAAAAGGCCACCAAGTCAGATCTAAATTTCTGAGGCATAAACTTAAATGCTAAATCTAGCCTCGAAAAGGCTAACCTAGTCACACTGGTTGCTGGGTGCAATTGAAACTAAGAAGGAAATTATTTATGGAGATTTTGTGGTTTAAATATGAAATAAGACATGAAATACTGTTTTATTAAGAAATTGCTTAATACGCAAGGTAAGATTTTTTTGTGAAATGTAACATTTTCTATTTTATGAGTGGAAGAAAAAATGCAGGTTAAGAAATTTTTATTCTTAAATTTGGCACATTTGAGACTACACTCAGATAGCTGAGTGGAAGATCGACCTATCTCGGCAGTCAGCTCGAAAACGCCCTATCTCAGAAAACTTTTCATGAACGCCCTATTTCAGAATTGTATTGAAAAACACTCTATGTTGTTGTTGTTGTAGCGGCTACAACAACCCCGCCCAGATCGGTTGATATCTCAGTCGTTGTCGTCAAGTTCCACTAACGGCAGCCCTAAGAAGCGTGCAGCCTCCACTGGGTCGGTCCACAGGTACAAAAACACTCTATCTCAGAATTTGGTTGAAAAATGCCCTATCGCAGAATTCGGTCCAAAAGCGCCCTATCTCAAATAAAAATGTATTGAAAATGTGCTAAGATAAGTCGTTTTTGAACCGAATTCTGAGATAGGGCGTGCTTCAATAAAATTCTGAGATAGGCCGTTCTTCAACCAAATTCTGAAGTAAGGCGTTCTTGAAAAGTTTTCTGAAATAGGGCGTTTTAGAGCTGGCTGCAGAGATAGGTCGATCTTCCACTCAGCCATCGATTTTAAGTAGGGAAGTACAAATAAAAACTTTTTAGGTTTGGCCACTTCTGCTCTCATGACCACAGTGCTTTAAGGCTTATACCAAATAACAAAAAAACAATTGCATTTTAATTTGTAAGGAAAGGAATTCATTCTACATACCGTCGTAATACACAATGGCTCCGCAAAGTTTATCTTTTTTTAACATGGGAAAAAGTTCCAAGGCATCTTTCTTTGAGAGATAGTACGAACTTTTAACGTTTCTATCTCCAGCAACGAGATCGTAGCACTTGATACCAACCCAATAATATGGCACTTGCCACCATCTGAAAATAAGTAATTTGGTTATTTTATTTAAAATCCAGCATATTTTAACATCAAGATTTTAAGCAAAAATTAATCATATGTATGTGCATACTTAATTAATAAGTTTATGAAAAATACAAGGACTTGTACCAAAGAATAAGCAATGAACTTAAATGTTAATGTCTGAACATTTTTTCATGGAAATTAATTCAAACTAAAATTCTCAGGAAAATCTCATAGAAGGGGAGGGATATGGGTTTTTCAAAAGACTGCAAGGTTGGGCTAAATAAAACATTTGCCTATTGGAAACTTTAAATGAGTAGTTGGTTGGTATATTCTGTCACAACTGCACTAACTTGAAACTATAGTAATTTTATCAAATTTAAAATACATACATATTATTCATATATTGTAACCCTATATCTGTGGTCATAAGCAATAACCGCCTAAGTCGAAAAGCCTGAATTATAGAAAATACGATTTAAACATTTGGATTGTAATGTTAACCTATGGGGAAACCAAAATATCGCACACCGTCTTCAATAGAGTCACAACTCAAAATAATACGTTCGTCAGAAAATGCGAAAAACTATTTCGTAACAAATGCTAATTATATGGCCAATGGCCACTTTACCTTAGGTTTTTTTAACAAATTATAACAAAAATTTTCTCCAGCTTTTGCTGAAAAGTAAATAAAAGCTCTGTGTACATTTTTAGCGCATAATTTCAAAAATGCCAAATTTTGAGTTGTGACTCTTTTGAAGACGGTGTGCGAGATGGGGATATCATATACACATGGAATAGTAGTTGCAGAATACGATAGCATATATAGCTCAATTCTTTCTTAGGTCGACTTAGGCCGTTATTGCTAATGACCACAGATATAAAAATTTATTACTGCAACGAATTATTTTGCAGATTTTCGAAAATGGTATTATAATCGTCGAAATCAAGTACGCAAAGTAAATCCGAGAGGGAAAAATAATGTACACCTAAGCGGAGAAACAAAACCTATAATTTGTTTGAGATAGATGGGTTCGTAGCCCATTTCTGTTGAAATATTCTAAATGCTACTACTTACATATATATATATGCATGCAATCATGCGATATACTTCAGAAGAGAGTATCATAGCATGCGTTTATGGGCAATTTTTCAGGTAGATATGTTTTAAGCAAAAATAGCTATTGAAAAAAGTTTTTAGTACAAATCGAAGAAAACTCACTCAAAAAGAGGGATGTTAAACTTAATGTTACCAACCGTACTTCTTTCGAAAGTACAGTACTTCTTTTTTCGCTCTTGTACTTCGTACTTCGAAGTACAGTCAAATGTACTTCTTTGCAATATTTTGTACTTCAGGAGGGAGATTCTGTAACCATGATATAAATGTTTTTGCGTCAAAAAGTGCGATAGCGATTCGAAAATTGTCGCTAACTGGTTACAGAATTTCCCCCAGGTCCTGTACATGGCCTGGGCGATAAATTCGTTCAAACCATTAAAGTTGCCGGGGACCGATGGCATCATACCTGCGCAGATGCAAAGGGCTCTGAAGGTGTCGTGCAATTGATTGGATCCTATTTATGCGAAATGCGTGAGGACCGGGTACATCCCCAAGCCTTGGAAGGTAGTCAGTGTTGCGTTCATCCCGAAGGCCGGAAAAGGCTCTCATGTTTTCCCTAGGGATTTTAGGCCTATCAATCTCTTCGTTTTTGCTAAAAGCGCGTTTGCTAAAAACACTAGAGAGACTGATAGACCTGTACATTACAAACGCGATTCTTCGTGACTGTCATTCAATAGCTCAATAGGCTTATTACAAGAAAAGTTCAGTGAATACCGCCCTGCACACATTGGTAAAGTGGTCAGAGGAAGCCTTCACGCATGAAGATTATGCAGTAAGGCCTTACTCGATATCGCGGGGGCCTTCAAATATGTCAGTCCAGAGACAATAGTCAAGTATATTCATAATTTGGGGATTGAAGCCAACCTAAAAGGGCTTATCTACAGCTGACTTCGTGACAGAACTGTCGCGGCGGAGTGGGGTAGCGTCTGCACTCAGTGCAGAGTCAATAGGAGCACTCCACAAGGTGGTGTTATCTCTCCCCTGCTCTGGTGGTCGCCTATGTAGATGATGTGGAACTTTTTCTTAAGGGGCGATTTCTGTACACCCTTTTTGATCTGGCTCAAGGTTGCCTGAACCAGGTAACTAGGTGGGCGATCAACGGCGGCTGTCGTGGAGGCCTAACATTGAGGAAAGGGTAGGAAAGGGGTCGGTTGCCTTGTACTACTGTAGGGGAGCTATCGGTAAAAGGTGGGGTCTCTCGCCCAAATTAATTCATTAACTCTAGGAAACCATATTTAAGCCTATATTGTTTCAAGAAGCCCTTGTCTGGTGGAACTCACTAGAGAAGGCTACACTTGTAAAACAGGAATTAGCGGAGCATTAGCAACCACCGCTACACTGCCCTAACGGAAGCAAGTGATTTTTTTTTTTTTTAAATCAAGTAATTGAAGGACTACTTTGAAACAAATGCAATGAGTAAATGTAAATGTGTTTCGATACTTTTTTTAATCAAAGAAACAATTTGTGTCTTGGAAGTATGAAAAAGAATCTGTGAAGTGCAGAACGCAAGCGTTTTCAAAAGAAACATATTGACTTTGAAGTTGTTTAAACGCAGTTCATTTTAAAGTAGTTGAAATTAAATGCAGAGTCGGACAGTCGACTTGCTGCTTGCACACAATTCAAACTGAACATTTGAAAGCACATTTACATGTATGGCTGTAGCTAGCGTGCAAAGATATTTGCTACAATTGCTTGCGGCCATGAGTGTCCATGTTCAAATCTCATTAGGCGAAACATTTAATTTCAAATTTTTAATTTCGGGTTTTTTTAATTATGAAAAAGCATCTGTGAAGTGCAGAACGAAAGCGAAGTTGTTTNAGCGTGCAAAGATATTTGCTACAATTGCTTGCGGCCATGAGTGTCCATGTTCAAATCTCATTAGGCGAAACATTTAATTTCAAATTTTTAATTTCGGGTTTTTTTAATTATGAAAAAGCATCTGTGAAGTGCAGAACGAAAGCGAAGTTGTTTAATCCAAATGCTTTTTAAATTAGTTGAAAATACATGCATGCAGGTTGAAAATACAAAAGGCCATGTTAAATAAATGATTTCGTTGCAGGTAAAATAGTGAGAATTTCAATTAGTTATTATTGAAAATAAAGTAGTTTACTTTTAAATTAGTTAAGTTTCCTGCAGGGTGGCGCTTAACATACATATGTTGAAAACGGTGCCTGCGGATATTGCAAACAGAATTGTCGCAGCACGAACTGCTATTAGGCNTTTTTAAATTAGTTGAAAATACATGCATGCAGGTTGAAAATACAAAAGGCCATGTTAAATAAATGATTTCGTTGCAGGTAAAATAGTGAGAATTTCAATTAGTTATTATTGAAAATAAAGTAGTTTACTTTTAAATTAGTTAAGTTTCCTGCAGGGTGGCGCTTAACATACATATGTTGAAAACGGTGCCTGCGGATATTGCAAACAGAATTGTCGCAGCACGAACTGCTATTAGGCTAAGCGAAACCGGGTGCTTTTGTGACATAAAAAAGGAAAAGAAGACGTTTCCCTGCTACTGCAAATGTTTTTATAGAGCACGTTAAAACACGTTACCTCTCAAGGGCTAGTGATGGGGTTCTGACAGGCCATTGTGCGATTGGTATTCATGCGATGAGACTAGAAATTTCAACTGATCCTTTTGTATCAGCTGTAAAGAGGAAGATGAAGTGGAATGATCTCCACACTTTCTTTCAGACTGTCCAACATTCGCGAAACTAAGATGGAAGCATTTTGGCTCGCACTTCTGAACAAACCCGGAGCTCGCAGGGATCAAAATTAGCTTCATTCGAAATTTCGTAATCGGCTCGCGGCGTTAACTTAACCCAAACTAAGCTGTACTTCTTTGAGTTATGGAATAGTTGGTCACATTAGTAATACTCCTATATTGGCAGTAAGAGCTAGTACCGTCCGAAAACATTACAGTACAGATACATATATCAATAAACACGTACGAAATAAAAGGAACACATACGTTTATAAATAAACATGTACACAACACATACACAAAAACGGCTTTCACGTACACAATACATTCACAAAAACGGTACTAGACCGTCTCGCTTTGATTTCGGAATGCTTACACAATGAGAAGTTAACTTACTGCCAATATAGAAGTATTACATATGTACATATATGGTAAAACGGAAAAGGGCTTCTAACCGAAAGTGAAATTTTCGTACGAAATCCATTTCATTTTGACAAAATTGTGCACGTACGCAGAAAATGCACCTAAGCGAATAGGTACCTAAACGGAATATACTGTAGTACGAAGTCGGTTTTTAGATCAATTAAAGTTTTGAAAATGACGTGTCATAAATACCTTTCTACCGAGTTACATATTTTCGATTTTTTCATGAAGATTGGTGAATACTAGAAGTGCCCATCAGTTTTTTTGAGTGAAACGTGCAGTTGCAGTTCGTTCACCTTAGTGAAGTAGTTTCTTGGTTCATATATATAGTTCGACTGACGATACATTTATATTATTTTAAACAAAGTCCAATTATCTCTATTATCATATTACCCAAAAAAAGCTTTGAATTTGAATTCACAGAATACGTTTACATATCGATGGTCCTATGCAATACCGACACTAACTGAAAATTTCATATTTTTCAGTAGAGCCAATTAAAGATTTTGTGTTTCGTAATTTAGCAATAATATGTCTTAGAAAGTAAGTACATATTCCGGATTAATTGCAGTAATTTTGCAGAGAAAATGTGTAAGCTTTCAAATTAGGACTTTTTTCTAAAGGTAAGGGTAAGGTAAAGGTAAGGGTTGGACGGAAGAAATACGAAATAAGTAAGAACTCCTAAATAGTTAAACGAAAATAACTCCACTGGTATTACTGAACAACCGCACAATATTTACGAAAAATTTCGTTATTTTACATAAAAGCACCAC